TTCTTCTTCTTCTTCTTCTTCTTCTTCTTCTTCTTCTTCTTCTTCTTCTTCTTTTTTCCTTCTCTTTCTGTTGCTTATGTCTGTCTATCTTGCTTTTCCCCTGCACTAAGTGACCGTTGTTGTGTCGCTGGGCTTCTCTTTACTCAAACCCAAACTGTGCTACCCCATCCTTCCATTCATAATCCTCTTCCTCTTCGATCTCGTCCTCTTTCGCTCCCTCGCCCCCATTGCTTCTTGTTCTACTCCTGATCCTACTTCTTCGACGAGGAGGAGGGACATGAGGAAGAGAAGCAGGAGAAGTGGAGACAAAACGCAATGTTTTTGGGTCATTTTGTTGCGTTCATTTTCCCCCCTAATTATCCCCGAAGAGCTTAAGCCCACACGTTTTGTAATCGGTGGTCCAGTTATAGCAACAAAAATGACATTGTATTATCTAAAATACCCTTTGACTTTTTTTTATGGGTCTTTCAACAGTTTGCTCTGCCACTTCTGAGCTGGTTTTCTTGAAGAAGTGCTTGCAAATCTAGTAATTTTGGTGTCCAGGTGGGATTCATTCGGGTAATGATAGATATTATCCAATGCCTTGCTAGGAAATACAATGTAGGTGGTACGAAAACGTTAGTCTCTATAAGGTGGCAAAAATGGCCACTGACTATAAAAGGGTTGACATGCACTGCATCATAGGGATAAATGTGTAATAACAAACCGAGTAGAACTTGACGATTTTCTTTTCTGAGTGTGCATATTTCATCGAGTCATAAATGATAAACACAACAGAACATTATGGATCTGCTGTCAATGTAAACAGGCTTTTTAAAGAAGTTGAAATGCCCTTTTATAAAGTGTACGCGTAAATTTGAGAGATGAGAAACAATCTCTCTCACGTTGATTTTTACGTCATAAAATGATTATACTTTTTCTCCAGACGTCATGCTGCTGCAATATGAAGTGCCAAGTTGAACTATTGAATTATCATTTCATTCAAATTATTCTTAAAGTGTAGTGAACTGTAAAAAAATTGCTTATACTAGCGTCTGTGGTGTAACGGTAAGGCTACCCAAGTTCGTTTAGTTTATAGTAAGAATTTCACGGTACCTGCAACACAATAAGGTCACATAAGTGCCGAAAAAGTAGATGTGCTACAAGAGAGTAACATTCACGAAAATGAAGGAGGATAGATAAGGATGATAGATGTTTGATTGGAAAGAAGGAACAAACCACACCAGAGCACCCGCCAACCACCTACACCCAAGTTCAATACCTGTGTGAGAAAAGTATTTTTTATCGAGTATCTTTGTCTTTCTGCTGGGTTCAGTATCCCTCTCAGCCAGCATGGGTTGGCTTTAACAGGCAAGGTCGGAAGTCTGCTTCCGATATGTTTTAAATTGTGTAGATGGGGACGTAAAAAATACCTATAGGTAAAACTAGTGCTTGTATAGTACCACACAATTCTGGATAATGGACCGAGGTTTGCTGCTGAAAACGTCTTCATACTTTAGACTGATACCTTTTCAGCATCGGAAAGTATCGTGTAGAGAGGGATCATCATCATCATCATCATCATCATCATCATCATCATCATCATCATCATCATCATCATCATCATCATCATCATCATCATCATCACATTTCTGGACTCATTTTGCCATATTATTTCTTCAGGAGCGGCAATTGCTGCAACAGGAGGCAGCTGCGTTGTCTTGAGACAAAGTACAGTCAAAAATTCCTGGCGGCAACATATCCTGAAATGTCTCTTTGACAGGTGATTCAATGTCACCCATACTTTGCACAGCAGTTTGTATCGATTTGTCTTAACTTAATCATGTTTTCCCCCACACATTGTGGCTTGATTAAAATACTTTTCTTCAAAACTTTATATAAAATACTAGATCTATAATCTCCATCACGCGAAAAATGGGATTGTTCAAAGCATTTCCCGTTTATCACGCACATCTTGCATACGCATATGGCCTACGTCATAGCTCATCAATGACACCATTTGGTGGCAAAACAAGTTACAAGAAATACACTTATAGGTCTAGTAAACACGTTTTGCACTGAAGTTTATAAAAGTGCGTTCAATAAAGATAGCGTCCCGATTAGAAAATAAAAATGACGGTCTTGCTTTTAAAAGCGATATTATTTCCCCCGCTGTAAACCTTCTAAAATCTGTAGAAACCACCCACTTAGATTTTTTTATTAGCAACTGTTTAATGTATTTTCTGGAATACAGCTGACAGAAGTTTACAAAAACATTGATATAATAAGACAAATTGTAACAAGTCATTGAGCAAAAACTGAAGAGTTTATGTTCGATTGTTATGAGCTATAATATGACAATAAATTGCGCCACGAATTTTTGACCGCACCATAGATGTGCACTCTGGCGTAATTCTGGTGCACTATGGAGTTCACCATTTGATTCAATCTGGAGCCATTTGAAGGGCAAGGGGGAAAGGCGCCACGTGCACTAGACGATAGCAAAGGGGGTGTTTTACCCTTCATCTGGGCAGCTATGGCGCGAACCTTTCGCAGCACAGTTTTTATAGAGCAAAGGGTAGCGACCATGACGGAACATAATCTAGGATATCATAATTCACAAGTCTATGATTACGCTTCATTTGTGTACAAGAAAGCGTTTCCTCTGTGATCAGCCTATAATCAATGCGTGTAGAAATTGCGCCCTATAATTTACCGTTACGTTGATAGATCTATATAGTTTGTCGTTCATAGAAATAGTTTGTCGTTCATAGCAACAGGATCAATCACCATTCATTGGTTAACCCGGCGTAAGAACAAATTGATGACGCCGCTGTCGTGGGATTGACGTCTAATTTTGTTGATAGCACAATTGTGATTTATCAGGCTGCCCGCCCACAGACCACGCACATTTTGCGTCAGAAAAATTGCGTCAGAATCTGTCTGTTTCTGATCTAAAGGCTGCAAGCACACATTTGGTCTACGTAGATTTTTACAGTGTGGGTGAATGGTGGGTGCTCTGGTTTGGTTTGCTCCTTCTTTCCTATCAAACATTTGTCTTCTTTATCTCTCCTCTGCCTCCATTATCTCTCTCTCTCTCTCTCTCTCTCTCTCTCCTTTCATTTGTACAACCTTTAATCTTCGGGACTTATATTACCTAATTAGTGTTGAAAGTGCCTTTAAGTTTAAGAATAATAAGAATAAATGTGAGGCAGCGAGGTGGAATCAGGCTCTCGTCAATTTTTGAGCATATTGAGTTATTGGTATCGTCACAAAGCTTGTTCATTTGTCTTGCTTTCAATGAAAAAATTACCCATCCATCTTCAATAGAAGTGGAGATATTTGGGATTGAAGGAGGTGAGGGTCACATTATTTAAGAGGTAAAATTAGCGAGAAAATGGCCGCCAAAGCTTGGTAAATTCAATGGAAACTGTAAATTTATATTTTTGTGCTTTTTATCAACGTTTTCGGTGAAATCCTCAAAGGAATGTGTTTGTAAATGGACATAAAATGTGTTGAGCCAAAAAAACAAAAATTTGATAAAAATTGCTAAGCAGGGAGAAAACTGTTGTTTTCTTCGATTTCATTATTTTGACGAGAGCCTGATTCCACCACGCTGCCTCACAAATACATAATTTGTATAATTCCCTTCATATACAAAGCAAAGACCAGTTTAAAGATATTGTCAATCTTTATTAATATCAACACAGAGAATTTTGTCAAGGTTGAGTTAACACAATAAATAATATTTATAAGGACTTTGATTTTCATTCACCTCCTCTCTCTCTCTCTCTTTCTCTCTCCTTCTCTCTCTCCTTCTTTCTCTCTCTCTCTCTCTCTCTCTCCGTATCTCTCTCTCTCTCTCTCTCTCTCCGTATCTCTCTCTCCAGCATATGAACACCTACACGCACACTCACACACACACACACACACACACACACACACACACACACACAAACACACACAAATACAAACATACACATACACACAAACATACACATACACACATACACAGACATGCACTGTCGTTCTGTTTCAATTTCTTTGTCACTGTCTGTCTGTCTGTCTGTCTGTCTATCTGTCTGTCTGTCTGTCTGTTTGTCTGACTCTCCCTCTTCCCCCCCCCCCTCTCTCTCTCTCTCTCTCTCTCTCTCTCTCTCTGTGTGTCTCTCCCTCTCCCTCTCCCTCTCATCGAACGCTATAAAGAACAATAACACCCATTGAAGTGTTTTACGTAATTCTGCACAGCGGTAAATAATTATTGTCACGTCTTCACATGGTGCAAGAGGACAGCTCTGTAAGTTCACAAAAACAAAGTTGTGAGAGTCGATCGAAAAGTTGGGAAACTGAGGCTACTCTGGATGTAACAGCTTCGTATTGCCAAAACACATTATGTCCGCAAAATTGCTCATGCCTCGATCTTCTGCTGACCGCGGTGACTGTCTTTCCCTTGAAGACGACTGCTTTGGAATAATTAGTTACTTCTCTCCGAAAGCCAAAGACGGAAATTCTTCAAGGGGTAGCGGTTACGCCCCTCACTGCCGAAACCAGGAGACTCTAGTTCGGTTTCCCGAGAGGGGAGGACTTTAATCGAGTGTCTCGATCTTTCTGCTTGGATGCTGTGTCCCTTTCAGCCCAGGATGGTCCTGAGAGGGAGAGTCGAAGCCCGTCTCACAAACAATCTAAAATGTGTCGGTGGAGGCGTAAAACACCAACATTTGAAAAATAATAGAAGTTCAAAAACAGAACTGCGATTTGAAAGAACTGTTTTGAATCTGTAATGCTTCAACTCCTTGACCGAAAATAGTACAATCATTAGTACAGAAAGGGCTTGGGACGACAGTAACACTACGTCCTGCTACATTGAGTACTTCTGAAATCTTCCTCCTCGGCTCCTCGTGACGAAATGTGGAGGAGCTGTCTGGAAGTATTTCCTCTCAACGCGTTGCTGTGACAGAACCAAGTGCCACGCCGTCGAAGTGACCCTTTCAGCGTCTGTCTTGTCAAACTGAACGGAAGCTCGCTATTTTTTGTCAGACAGACCTTTGGAAAAATCATTATTTTCCTTTTCCTGGAAGATGTGCTCCTCTTTCTGTTGCCAAGACAAGTGAAAAATGTTCAGTTTTTAAAAACAGTCGACATTTTGTGTACTGTCCGGTCTTAAAAAGCCGACATTCTGTGTCCAGAGTAGTCTTAAGCGTTGCCAAGAACAGGGAATTGTTATCTAGATTAAATAGAAATGTTTTTCAAAGTCTCGGTCGAAAGTCTGCTATTCTGTTTGGAGACGTGAAAGTCAGTGGATATTCTCAACTGTTTGATGCCGTTCAAACCAAATCCTCTTCTCTGTTCAAACCCATGCGCACGTTGAAAAACTGCGAAACTTTCCTTGTAACAGAAGCTTTCCGTTTTTCCACTTCCTTCTCTATCTTTTCCCTTAGCGCTTGACTCATGATCATTCGTTCTGGATCTGCGAGGGCAAATCTCCTTCTCTTTAACCTTTCAGAGGCCGGGTGATCTTTGGCATCTCCATATCTGGCTGAAAACGTTTCAACGAGGGTGGACGAGTAAGGAGAACCTGGTTTATTTGTAGTGTTGATATTTTTAGAACCTGAAGCCACTTGGTCACTGCTTCCGCCATTATTGTTTCTGTGGTGCTCTTCAATCTTATCAAAGTCCCTGTCTTGTTTACCCCAAGCGTTTTTACGAGCTTTCCTGTACTGTTTGGTCAGGAAGATCGGGTCGTCAATCCCAGCTGGTTGAGAGCAGCCGAGCTCGTAGAACTTGTCGTCATTGATAGAGCTGAAGAAGGACTCCGGCTGACAGAAGCTGCCCAGGGCAGCTGCGCTCACACTACGCCTGAAGGTCCCCGCGTGTCGGGAGAAAAACGATTTGTTCTCTTCGGCATCTTCCTCCACCATCCCCTCCTCCTCCTCCTCCTCATTTGCATCCGCCTTCGGTGCCCCTTTTGGAGCTCTCCCTAAGGCAGCTTCAGCGTCACTGTTGCACGGTGGCTGGTGGTTGTTTGTTCCTAAAAAGTCCCGCGGGCTTTGTCTGGGCTGGGTAGGAGACATAAGTTTCGTGGGTGTCCCAACTTCAGGAAGTCCACTAACTTCTTCGTCTTGGACGTCCCACACTTTGTCTTCCACCTCCACCTGTCCGAAATTGGCGTAAAAATTCAATATCGGACACTTTCTAGACGGTTTTGAAACTTTGGAAGCTAAAAGAAGCATTTCAGTGGGGGTTTCCTGTTGTGTCGAGCTTATTGAACCGTAAATTACGCCACATGAAGAGGAACGCTGGAATTCTGATACACGGGAAGGAGAACGAGATTTTGAGCTATGAACAATATTTTCGTTTGTGTCGTACGTGAAGAATGCCATCTTTGAAGCATCTTCGAAAGCTCCAGCTGATTTAACCTGAGTGTTGTTACTTTTTTCTAGACTTGGTATCGTGGGAGCTGAACTTTTCTCATCAGCCACATTGTGGGCATCCTTGTACTGACTGTTGTCTTCCCCAGCGTGAGGCGTAGGTTCAGTTGACGTAATGAATAGATTCCACAATGGGATATGGACATTCTTTCGCTTGGGTGTAGTGATGTGAACCACATTCTCGGAGTCTCCACCGAACGTACTTGTATTGAGAGTGCTCATTTGCTGTTGAGAAAGACTTTTCTCTGGCCCAAGAGAGAAGTTTCTAATCTTATTGTCATTCTGAGGCTTCACAAACTTGATTGACGTCATGGTTGTTGAATTTTAAAATATAATTCGATGTTTCGCTGATGTATACCGAAGATTTCGTAGTCTTTCCAAGACTTCCTTTCGAATTCGAAAAATAATGTTAAGTAAAAAATGCTCTCATTTTGAAAATTCGTGTAACAGCTTAAATGTATTTCTGGAATCCTCGAGCAAAAAACGATGACTTGTTAGCTCCGCAATTAATACAAAGTTCCACGTATACTGTGAAAAATCTTTCGTTTGTGAAGAAGCCGTTAATATTTCGGCGCTGTAATCTTCAGGAAGTAGACACGCTCAGGGAAAACACTACTACTGTCTTTAACACAATTCGTTCATGGATAGTCAGGAAAACCTCCACAAGAAAACTGTTTAAGGCGCTTTTTTTTCACTGTTTAAACGTATCGCTGAGGCACACGCAAATGATCCTTCGCTGTCGCTGTTAGAAAACTAATTGTCCAGAAACTAGAAGCACCACTGAGTGCCGAGTTGTTTTTTGAAGATACAAATTGTTCACTCAGACCTCAGCGCACCCTCATCGCGCATTCGTTGTCTCATAATACAAAAGGAAAGGGATGAGCTGAGGTTAATTATCCCTTTGATGGGTCTCTTATTCTAAGCCCTCGGTAGCCTCACTCGCCTAGAACTCAAAGCGCTGGAAATTCCTCATTGGTCTCCATTCATCTGTTGAAGAAAAGAAATAGTTGATCATGAAAAAATCTGGCATATTAATCAATAGAAATGAATTACTTTCTTAATGAGAGAAATGAGACGGGTGAATGCAGTGGGAGGAATGTGTAGACATGAGCTGGAGCGTAATGCGTTCATTGAATCTTTATGAGAACTTGCTCAACAGCTGTGTAGACATTGATGTGGTTGCGCATTTGTTCTATATCTGAAATAACATTCCTATCTTTATATTTATGTCTGTGTATCCCCCTCCCCTCCGTCTCTCTCTCTCTCTCTCTCTCTCTCTCTCTCTCTCTCTCTCTCTCTCTCTCATTCTCTCTCTCTCTCATTCTCTCTCTCTGTCACTCTCTCTCTCTGTAGCTCTCTCTGTCGCTCTCTCTCTCTCTTTCTCGCTCTCTCTCTCTCTCTCTCTCTCTCTCTCTCTCTCTCTCTCTCTTTGACTCTCTTTCTCTCTCCCTCATCTCTTTCTCTCTCTCCTAATGTATAGAGATATGGCCTACCCCATCCACCCTCCCCCTTTTTTCTCCATTTCATTTTCCTTTGCCATTCTCGTCCTCTTTCTTTCTGTCAGTCTCATGTTCTCATTTTCTTTAAAAGGCAAATATATGCATCTAATAAGGGGATGAATCTGAATTTTTTTTACTTTTATAGAAAAGCCTGTGAAGATAAGTGCACGATAGACAAATGACTGATTATTTCAAATACAAGTGTGAGGACATGAACCATATATTGTAAATCGAGCACAAAAAGGACAGAAGCCAGAGTGTAGAATTAATACCAGCAGAACCGACTTTATCTTTTAAATGTGCTTTTGCGCTCCCACCAACAAAGTTCAGGTCAATTAAAAGGCGGACTTCAAATCTGCCTATCAGGGCCAACCCGGACTAAAATGGATACAATGTCCAAGCAAAAAGACCGAGATACGCGATAAAAATGTTCACCTCTCGGGAATGGAACAAGGCGTAACCGCATGCATCACAGATACCGGCACAGATGATTTTGGTAAAAAGAATAAAAAACATGGCATGGTGTGGTATGGGTTTACACCGCTTTCAACACTGTTAGACTACATAATCTTCAAATATAACGTATACATCCGATAGGACTGAGCCAAGTACATGTAGATTGAGACCCTTGAAAAATCCCCAAACAACACAAGTTTAAAACTCGGCTCTTTGAGAATTTTAACTAACGTCGCCCGCGCCAGTATGTTATCAATCAAACATACAGCTCGCAATCAGAAATCTGCAAAGTATTAAAACCTCAGTTGGTGTATATTGAGATCTTATACAAACCCACGATTACAAGAAATATTTTATAACATTTTTTTAAAGAGTTTGTGGAGACAGAGGGGATTAAAGAGTCGTAAAGTCAATGTCGAGTACGAAACCAAGCAGCTAGAAAAAAAACCCAGAAGACAACCTCACCAACCCTAAAAAAGGGGCCGTAGAATGTTTTAAATGAGATCAGCAAAAGTTCTAAAGAATTAATGCAAAGATAGTTTTGCAAGAGAGCCGTCGGTTCTATTTATTCCTTATAAGTAGCGCACACGTTTTATCACACCAGTGAACCTTTACATTGACAGCTAAATATGGGTCATAATCTGGTACTTTCGTTCTGAAGCAAATTATTTCTTTGCAAAGACATGATGACCTTTAGGTAATGTTATTTCCCTGAATGGAACTTATTACGGAAATGCTCCGATGAACGATATGTCAGAATATTCAGTGCGGATAATAATTTATTATGAATATTGACCAATGGGGGGTATCATTGGAGTTAACTGAAATTTGCATACTATGATATGCTTCACTCTTCTATTTGGAAAGGAAATAAAGAAACGTTCCAAACTGCTGGTACCTACACAAGCGCTTTCTTTACTTTCTTTGGTGTCTGTGGTGTAGCGGTTAGGCCATTCACCGTTGTACGCGAAGATCTGAGTCCGATTTTCAAAAGGGGTGAATTTTTATCGAGTATTTCGGTCTTTCTGCTGGGATGTTGTATTGCTCTTAACCTAGGTTGGCTTTGACGGGAGAAAGTCGACGGCCGCTGCCTAAATGATCTGAATTGTGTCGATGGGCGTAAGACTTTACTTCTATCAGCCGCTTATACCCTTTTAGGTGTCGCGGGAAGAAAGAGACGTCTCTCAGTCGCCAGCCGGAGAGCTTGGGTCAGGGGGGTGCCGTGGGTGGTTAATGTTTCCCTGACTCCATCTACCCAGGTCTTTCTGGGTCGCCCTCTAGCCTTGTTGCCATCGAATTTTTTTAATGTAGGCACGTTGTGTTGGGTGGTGTGTTGGTAATCGTAGGAGACGTCTGAACCATTTGATTTTTGGGGTGTTGGGTGGAATGCAAAACATCATTTGTGCCCACCATTTCTCGAGAAATGGTGATGGGCGTAAGACACTTACATTAAAAAATGAGGTAGGTAATGTACCATGTACACTCAGAGCACGGACAAATAATGTTCTAAAAGAATGTCTATATGAGAAACGAAGCACACCCTTTTTAATCAGACGCTTTTGCGGCATTTTAAGAAGAGTACCATGTTATACTGCATTACCCCTGGCTTCTTGCAGCTGGAGAAACATAATATTCCCCATTTCTTCCAGAATCTCCGCCCTGGAGCACTTTGCTTACTTTTAATAAATTTGCTCTCGTCTTAAGCTATCTCTGCTCAGGGCTGGCTACTACAGCACAATTAGATTCACAAATGCAAGCTGTTCAACTCTTCTAAGCTGAGAATGCAAAATTTTTCACGAGACAGGAAAAAAACGTTTAATTCTTTTAACAATTGCGCATGTATAATATTTTATTGCTTTTTCCACTCAGCATTTAGACTATGAATTTTGACAACTCGAGCTCAGGCAAACAATGTTTCAGGTAAGAACCTGTGGCGTAAAAGCTCATTGTTTTAGGCTTAGTACATATGAACAGCTAGCAAACCTTTGAAGAAGGGGAATATAGGTAAACTATTTTTTAAAAGTGTGGTGGGTACGTTGATATTATAAAAAATAATCGGAAAATCGAATAACAATGTATAAAAAGCGCCATCTGAAGGAAAAAAGGAGTTGTGATCGAAGGTTTTCATGTTGCTTTTAGTGGAATGTAGTCTATATGTATGGTAAGGACTCTGGTGGAAAGATTCAACGTGTTACGAATACCTCATCACTTTGCTTTATTTTAATTTACTTTTTTGTTCAGTGTCCTTTATTTATATTTTAAAAGACACACCAAAAAGGTGGTATCTTTGGAGACTGTTGAGAATTCTTGTGAGGAAAAAAATCAAATGAGGTAGCACTTGGAGAGGCCCATGCAGACAGTTCGCTGCTAAAAACAATCAGGAAAAGACAAATGACGTTTCTGGGACACTTGAGTAGACATAAAAGCCTTGAACATCTAGCTCTCTCAAGCAACTTTGAAGGTAAACGAGACCGGAGTAGACCCAGAACAAGCTACTTGGAAATCCTAAGCAGATGGGTGTTGGGGAAAGATCAGGGTAATGTAGCTTTGTTTTTTTAGAGCATTCTAGCTAAAGAATGAAAGGAGAACCATGATCACCGATGTCTTTCGCAGATCTGGCACTTTGATGATGATGTGCCTATTTATGGTGCTATCTTAACGATCGTATACGTGTTAGACAAGTATTGTTGATGAAAATGTGAGTAAACACAGTGATATTTCAACACCATAGTGCGGTCAAAAATTCGTGGAAAAACTTATCCTCAAATATCTCTTAATGTTAAACGGTTGAAACACCGTCACCTATACTTTGCACAACAGTCAGAATCAATTTGTCTTAACTTAATCATATTTTCCCCCAACAATTGAGGCTAGATAAAAAACATTTTTTCCTAAATATTTTATAAAATCTACAAACATCTGTCACGCGGAAAATGGGATGTTCCGCAAAACTCACCTCTTCTCACACTCATTTAAAATACGCATAATTTATCATTGCCTTTGTCACAGCGCACCAATGACACTTTTTTTGGCAAAACCTGTTACAAGAAATTAATTCTATAGCGAACACTATTTTGCACTAAAGGTTCTCAAAATATGTGTTCAATAAGCATAATGTCGCGATTAGAAAAAAATGACGAACGTACTTTTAAAAGCGATATTGATCAAGCTAAAAAAAAAATTAAATCTGTAGAAACCATCGACTGTAGTTTTTAAAAATTAGTATTTATGAAGGAAATGTCTAAATTGCAGTGTACAAATGTTTGAAAAAAAATAGTCATCTGTTAAGCAGACAAATTGATATAAGTCATTCTGCGAAAGTTGGAGAATCTAACTTCTTTAGTTAAGGAGAAATTTGTCAATGTTGCCAATACGTTGTGCCACGAATTTTTGACAGCACTATAAGAGGAAACAAAAAGAGGACATGAATAATTGACTAATAATAATTTGTATTTTTTTTTGGGGGGCCTTTGTTGCCTATTTTACCCTTCCCCTTTTTTCCCTGCCCCCCCCCCCCCCCCCTTTCCCGTACAGGCTGCCCTCGCATAGAGTGACCAGGTTTTGTTTGTTTTAGTAAGGTTTTACGGAGCTCGCAACTGCATACGGTTATATGAGCGCCAAGGGGTGGGTGTCAACAGAGACGTCCAAACGGGGAATCAGGCTTAGGCCGGTCCCAGAGTGGCTCGGTAAGTCTGACCTGTAGCTCGCCTAGCTCGCACCGTGCAAATGAACGTATACATTATCGTGTGCCTGAGAGGCGTCGCTGTATGGTCTGTCTGTTGTCAGCTGGGCTGCACGACGCGTCAGACGTGCTATTGAACAGTGTTGTAAAACACGTAGGACATGTGTCGCACGCAGCCTCGCTTCGTGTTTATTTTCTACTGAAATTCTTCACAGGTCATCTAAATCAGCCAGAAGTAAGTATTATTAGGTGCTTTACTATTAGATATGGATGCCAGCATCAACACTTGACCACAAAATCCCAAGAAATGCACTTTATCCTACATTAAAATTTCGAATCGAGAGGTTGACCTTGTTTCGACTGTTCGTTTATATTTGTAGGCCTGTGTGCTTCTAGTCTAGCGCGGCTGAGCTGACACGCAGAGGGCGCTCACCCAGACACAGAAGCCAAAGCACAGTGCGGCTGTGCTGACACGTAGACGGCGCTCGCTTGGCGAGCTAAAGGTCAGACCAACAGAGCTACTCTGGGACCGGCCTTACTCTGTTCACCTCTCTAGTCTCAAAGGCACAAAGTCTGCTTCGACTATCAAGACACCCCAGAAATAGCAGTTCACAAAAGAGTGGCAAACATACAAAAGAAATAGGGGAAAACTGACGATAGCAAGGATGGGGAAAGAAAAAGCAGCGGCTACCCCTATGTTGTTCCGACACAATATGAGCACGCTTTGATAAATCTGCCCATTTACAATTCTACTGTGTATAAGAACAAGTTAGTAGCTCTTCCCTTTGGGAATAGCCTAAAAGACACTTCAGTCAGTAGCACTGTCCTGGGGGGGGGGGGGGTGACTAGATTTTTATTATCGACTCCGAATTATCTTACGATTTTGATAGGGTAGATAGAAAGAACATTTGGATTCTGACCTCATGGTCGTAATAACTAAAAAAAATGACCAAAAATGGCCGATAGAACTTTGCATTTCAAAGGAAGCGATTAACCTTAGGTGCTATCTAAGGATCCAGATCAGTTTCGCCTTAGCCATTTTTTCACACCCTATCACCCTCTAGTTCTATCTTCTGATAAGCAAAACGCACTGACCCAGTTCCACTCTTCCCGAAAGAAGTAGAGTATTATAGGCCTACTAGAGTGTAACGTGATGAAATCAATAATAAGTAATGTGAAAGGTATGCCTGAAACCGTCCCCTCTCTGTGGCTGAATTGAGATGATATTGCGGTTATTTTTATATGGAAGAAAGAAAATTGTAAGGAAATTCTATATTGGGAACAGGAAAGTACGTTTTAATAACACTTGATGGAAGTGAATTATGCAGCCAAAATGCAAATGCGAAGGTGATTTTATACAAAGATATCACAGACCAAAGACTCAGTAAAACTTCACTCTTTTACGACAGTAGTAATGATTTTGAAATGTTATTCCTTTCGTATTAAGAATTAGATCTAGAGCGAAACGTGCAACAATAAACGATGTTTCGAGGTCAACATCATAAATAATAAAAGCATTGAAAGGTACCACTTTAAAAGCATAGTTACTGCATTCGTTATGTTATTTACTCCAACAAGCACATAAATAGAATTAACCCCATGTGGGAACCCCATTGCAGACACTGTGACTACCACGAGGAGACCGTTGAACATCTTCTCCTTCACTGCCCAAACCTGGCAGTTCTTCGACGCAGGCTCCTACACACACCTACAGACTTACAAAGCCTACTCTACTCTGGCGCTGACCAGATGACAAGGACATTTGGTTACTTGAGGGAGGCATTGCGCTGCGAAGAGAGAAATGCTCGCAGCTAAAGGGATTTGAAAACAACAACAACAACATGTTATTTACTGTGAATTCCGAAAGAGTGGATGGCTGGAGGGTGCACTGGTGTAGTTTGCTTATGCTTTCCTATCAAACATGATATCTCTCCTCCTTTTCTGAGCTTGTAAAACCTCTAAACTTCTGCACTTACATGACTTCATTGTGTTGTAGTGCTGTAGAACTGTTACTGAACCTAAACAGAATAAGAGGGATAGGTGGCACAGGCATACGAAAAATAAAAGAATGACACACGTGTGCCCTACAATCACGTTCCTGCGACAGATTTCGTTGGGAAAAAACAACAACTGAATTTGGTCAAGCTTACCAGACTTGTAGAAAAATCCTTTGCAAACACTTCGATAAATTGTATCGGTCCTGTTCTGGTAGATAACTGACGTGAATGAAATGAAATAGATTGATTGAGCGAGAGAGAGGGAGAGAGAAAGAGCGAGAGAGAGAGAGAGAGAGAGGGAGAGAGAAAGAGAGAGAAAGAGAGAGAGAGAGGGGGGGAGAACGCTGAAATCTCTTGTCGTCAAACAAGCGACGAGGTTCGTATGGCCTCCTGGGCTGTCGCAGGCTTTCGCTGGAACTGTTGGTCCGCGAACATCTTTTATCGTCTATCCTGTGTGACCGCAGCTGGTTCCACACCAGGGCTAGCTTCACCTCTCGCTACCTCAGCCACACGCACTCACCTCTCTTTCTTCTTAACGCACCTCGTGAAAACTCACTTCTTTTCACCTTCTTCTCTTTTTATTTATCTCCCTCTAACTATCTCCCTCTATATCTCTATCTTTCGTTCCCCCCCCCCCCCTCGAAAAAACCCACCCATTCTTTACAGCACACTTGCTTTCCTATGGAAACAGTGAAACAGTACCAATCATCCCTCTCTCCCCCTCCTCCCTCTACACACACAAACCCATCCACAAGTTCAGTCGTGCCCTTTCTCCCCTCCCCTCCGCCTACACCTCTTTGTTTGAGCCAGACCGAGGGAAAGTTTCCTTCTTGGGGAGTCGAGACTGTCCCGTGAGTCGAGGTTGTCACTGGTTTTTTTACCTGGACATCAGTGAATTAGCGCGGCAAACAAACTATAGGATAGTGTGTCTGTATACGAGTACTTGCACCCCTTATAACCCTCTCCATATTTCCTGGCCTTTGTATAATTATATTGTACA